TTGACCTTTCAGCATTCAAATTATTCTTCAGAGATGTTTTCTAATAATAAATAACAAAAGAGAGTCGCATTTTTATTACAGTAGGTTTAAAGAATTAACACGTATACTATTGTTTTTTTAATAATGTCATTTACATATCATCTGATCGGATCACAGCATTGGCAACGATTCCGATAGATAAGCTCACTTCATTTAACAGCCGTTTGAGTGAATTTATCGGAAAACAAACAAGTACAATGTAAACTGGTTTCTATGTGTCACAGAATTTACAGTTTCTCGCATTTCCGGGAAGAAAGTGCTATGCAATAAATTCAGTTTGCTAATCATGCTTTGACGTTGAACAATTAAACATTTTACTGATATTCACAAGACTTCACACCAAGGAGTAATTTTTTATCACTTGCTGACTTGTGGACAGCTGCGATTGAATTGATGCTGTTCTTCTCAGTAGTTGTCGACATCATATCTAAATATGTTTGGTTTAGAAAAAAATCAAAATTACCAATAAACCATGGTGAGGCAGTGAAGCGCAATAAGTTATACAACAAATGCTATGTTGAAGTTTGCATCAGTAGTTAGGAGAGAAAGCGTTAGATAAAGAGATTGCAAACGCTCAATATCCTTTGTATCATACAGAATATACGCATTTTTGTTGAATATCATAGGGGATCGTCAGGAATGTCTAGTTCTGCCAAGATTCAAATTGATACGTCAAATTTATCAGCTGATGATTTCGACGAAAACTCACGATATTCTTTCCTTCATAATATCCATAAGATATTTTATCAAAACCTTCACTACAATCTGAGGTCACCAAACATCACAATTTGAATAACTACATAGACCAAATCAGTGAATATCATCATACATGTCTATTGTTCTCTAAGATTTTGATATCCTTTCTGCAGATATATTGATAATTTTTTTCCACTGCGCTTTTTCATGGCACTGCATTTTTGTCCTAATTGCTCATGAATACACAATGACAGTGCGCGATTCATTCATCCAATACCCACCATAAGATATCGAACAAGCAGAACACAATAATTTGTTTAGTTGACACTTCTGGTCAGGAGCTGAAATTTGTAAACAGCTCACACAATAAAACAAACGACCCTAAACGCATACATAAGTAAGTACAAGTTTGATGTAATTAGGAAGTCAGAAACTTCATAAAGATGAGCGAAAACATTCACGAAATGCATTCAACACTATGGAATTCACGTAGAACGTATCACGGATTTCAGCGGTATCTATTCCTAGGTAGAATATGTTAATTGAGTTTGACTATGATTTATGCATTTTCTATTTCAGCTGCCTCCCTGCATATAGATATTTCAGACGATCCATACTGCATCTCAATGAAAGAATATGGGAATAGCCGCCGGCATGTTTCATGGACGGATGGTGTTGTAAACGTTGGAGCCGCTGAACCCGCTGCATAAATGCCGCAGTTAGGATTTCACGTTTGCGACAATAAGCTGATTAGTTGACCGTGATATTTTAATTTTGGATAAGAAAATCCTTGTCGGTGATTGACTGCTGTGCATTTGGGTATGCGAATTCGTGACTGTCCCAAGGACGTTTCTATGATGCAAAAATAAACGAGATATGTCTGCTTGATTGTGTTGTGCTTGCTGGTTGTTTGTATGTCTCAGAGAAACACTAGAGCTTATTCTTTGAATGAACAGCATATGTACTAGTGTTGTGTGCATCAACCACGCTGTTGCCAAATCGGTAACACCCTTTTTTGTAGTAGAATTATTCTTTTCCAAATTTTTATGTTTATTCACAATATATTTTACAAATGAAGCTAAAGTATATCTTCATTTGACCTTTCAGCATTCAAATTATTCTTCAGAGATGTTTTCTAATAATAAATAACAAAAGAGAGTCGCATTTTTATTACAGTAGGTTTAAAGAATTAACACGTATACTATTGTTTTTTTAATAATGTCATTTACATATCATCTGATCGGATCACAGCATTGGCAACGATTCCGATAGATAAGCTCACTTCATTTAACAGCCGTTTGAGTGAATTTATCGGAAAACAAACAAGTACAATGTAAACTGGTTTCTATGTGTCACAGAATTTACAGTTTCTCGCATTTCCGGGAAGAAAGTGCTATGCAATAATATCAATTTGCCAATCCTGCTTTGACGTTGAACAATTAAACATTTTACTGATATTCACGAGACTTCACACCAAGGAGTAATTTTTTATCACTTGCTGACTTGTGGACAGCTGCGATTGAATTGATGCTGTTCTTCTCAGTAGTTGTCGACATCATATCTATATATGTTTGGTTTAGAAAAAAATCAAAATTAACAATAAACCAGGGTGAGGCAGTGAAGTGCAATAAGTTATACAACAAATGCTATGTTGAAGTTTGCATCAGTAGTTAGGAGAGAAAGCGTTAGATAAAGAGATTGCAAACGCTCAATATCCTTTGTTTCATACAGAATATACGCATATTTGTTGAATATCATAGGGGATCGTCACGAATGTCTAGTTCTGCCAAGATTCAAATTGATACGTCAAATTTATCAGCTGATGATTTCAACGAAAACTCACGATATTCTTCCCTTCATAATATCCATTAGATATTTTATCAAACGCTTCACTACAATCTGAGGTCACCAAACATCACAATTTGAATAACTACATAGACCAAATCAGTGAATATCATCATACATGTCTATTGTTCTCTAAGATTTTGATATCCTTATCTGCAGATATATTGATAATTTTTTCCACTGCGCTTTTTCATGGCACTGCATTTTTGTCCTAATTGCTCATGAATACACAATGACAGTGCGCGATTCATTCATCCAATACCCACCATAAGATATCGAACAAGCAGAACACAATAATTTGTTTAGTTGACACTTCTGGTCAGGAGCTGAAATTTGTAAACAGCTCACACAATAAAACAAACGACCCTTAACGCATACATAATCAAGTACAAGTTTGATGTAATTAGGAAGTCAGAAACTTCATAAAGATGAGCGAAAACATTCACGATTGCATTCAACACTATGGAATTCACGTTGAACGTATCACGCATTTCAGCGGTATCTATTCCTAGGTAGAATATGTTAATTGAGTTTGACTATGTTTTATGCATTTTCTATTTCAGCTGCCTCCCTGCATATAGATTTTTCAGACGATCCATACTGCATCTCAATGAAAGAATATGGGAAAAGCCGCCGGCATGTTTCATGGACGGATGGTGTTGTAAACGTTGGAGCCGCTGAACCCGCTGCATAAATGCCGCAGTTAGGATTTCACGTTTGCGACAATAAGCTGATTAGTTGACTGTGATATTTTACTTTTGGATAAGAAAATTCATGTCGGTGATTGACTGCAGTGCATTTGTGTATGCGAATTCGTGACTGTCCCAAGGACGTTTCTATGATGCAAAAATAAACGAGATATGTCTGCTTGATTGTGTTGTGCTTGCTGGTTGTTTGTATGTCTCAGAGAAACACTAGAGCTTATTCTTTGAATGAACAGCATATGTACTAGTGTTGTGTGCATCAACCACGTTGTTGCCAAATC